TAAATTTCAATTTAAAAATATTCGAAATTGGAAATGTAATAAATTACGGTCTTCCTTCGTATTTTTAATAAAGGCTCAAATATTCTTTTTTGCTAAAGATTCTTTATCGATTTGAAATTGACTTCTTTTCAAATATGACAAGGTAATTAACGATAAAAAATAAAGAACACACACTTTTAATAAATGAATTCCCAGAAAAATTTTCTTACAAAATTCAACAATTTAATAATAAAATTAATTCAAATAGTTTCTTTACTTAAGTTAAACTTTAATTTAAAACTTGTCATAAAAATACTCAAAATTAAAAATGCAATAAATTACGGTCTTTCTTCATATTTTTAATAAATGAAGATCGCCTGCAGATTATGTAAAGAAGCTGTGATTAAAAAGATATCCAGTGGTTCTAGCACTTTCTGTATATTTCCGCATAAAGCTATATCTAGATGAAAGATACATCAGCTAGTCATGACTGCTAATTTCCTCTATGTCCGTTTTCCTGGTAGACATTTCCTTAGGAGCATCACGTTTCTCTACACTGATAGTTGTAAATCTTATTAGGCAAGTTCGTATATTGATTCGATTTAATTTTCATGTTCTTATGTCATAAATCATTACTTAGAGAGTATCATGTAATTTCTTACGCGTATTCTATTTTTAATATATAATTTTAAAATTATAACGTTAAAATTTTCTCAACATTCAATTGTAAAAAAAAAACAGAATAACATAACCAAAAAAATTCATAAAATAACATGTGAAAAAATACTTCGCAAATGTCACGATAAAAATTTTTAAAAGTTCATTCCGTTGAAAGTTATAATGTACGCTTTAGTGTGTTTATGAAGTTTTTCGCCATTTCGCTAGCTGCCCCGTTAATCCAACTACACGGCCAAGATATATACATATTTAGATACAGAAATGCATAACAACGAGAATATTTCAAAACACTGCATTCTCAATTTTTAGCGCCACTTTTGCGAGTTAAACTTAAATTGCTTTAACTTTCAGACATCTCAGTTCAGTCGCATTTCATCTTCAAAATAACTTTGTAAATAAATAGCAATATTATCATGTAAAATATATATTTCTGTTATTTCTTTCATCATAAATATTTTATCAGAATAATATAATTAAAATTCTCATTGTTAAAGATTTAATTTTATCTTTAAAAAATGTAATATTTAATTACATAATTTGAAACTCTTCCAACAATGAAATAGTATTTCAAATTATCGCTTTCACTAGTTCTCATTAACACCGTAAATAAAATATCCTAATCTCTGTAATTACAAAGAGGAAAATAACGAAAGTATATAATAAATTGTTAACATCACAAATCAGAAAAAGGTATAAGCGTCATAGTAGATGCTACTTTTTGCTTTTCGACTCATGCTATCTGCAGCATGGATACAAATTTTCCTGGAATTTTCCATTACCCGGTGAACGTGATTCCGTGTCCAGCAAAGTATTATCGATGCGCTGTATTGTACTGTATCGAAATTTTCACATGCCAATTACGGGCAATCGAAACCGATGGAATGCGCTAAACAAGTAAAAAGCAAATATGCAGATAATAACGAAATTAAAATTCGTTAAGTATCGCGATTAAAATCATAAATTTCTATATGTATCCTTATGAAAATTTAATCCTATTCATAATCTGAAAATATCTTGAATTATCCCTGGGATTTTATCCCTCAATATATTATATAAAATAAATATAGCAAATACAGTACATAATGTATAACTGTTTCTTTTAAAATCATATACAAATCTGCTAAGTAACTGTGTTAAAGTGTCGTTGACTTAGCTAAAATCTTTGCACGTCAAAAAGAATTTTAAAAGTAACATAACATATTCTTTCTATCGTAACATAAAATATATATAAAAATAGTTTGCTATTTATAAAACAGAATTTAATATTTTCTGAAATGTTGTTGTTGTAAAAAATAAAAAATAATAACCGATATATACAAAATTAATAATTTTAAACTAAATATTAAAACAAAGTAATAATAAAAAATACAGTATTAATAATCAGTACAGTAAAATTTAATTTATATATATATATATATATACATATATATATATATATATAAATTAAATAATAATAATTTTATAATAAAATGATTTGTAACAATTTATTATTTGTGATTATTTGTAATAATTTATTATAATTTTGATATCGATTACAATCGGTTTGTAATTGATATCAAAATTATAATAAAATTTCTCCTTATTAAAAATCTATCTACAAATGTAAGATATTATCCGAAATTATCAAAGCTTATCAAATCGCAAAATATACAACGTATTCTCATTCACGGAGAAGTGGCATACGACGCTACTATGATTACTAATCACGCGCTTTGAGTTCATGGTCTACCACAACGTCATCGTTCATTCATCAAGAAACGTTAAGCGAGACGTTACCCAACCAAAAATTCACTATTCGTCGAGAGTGTTCTTAGTAGCAGATCTCATTTACATTCATCAGTAAGATAGTGGTATGATATATATATATATCTCAGTCGTGTCGCTATAATCAGTGTTCTTGCACAAGATTCAACGTTCATTTGCTCGCGCTTTGAGTCATGATATTAAGACTTCAATTAAACAACCTCGTCGACTTGGAAACTAATATGCCATTGGATAACTCCAACGCGTATTCAGAATGCACGTCTGTATACCTCGGACGTCGATGTGAGAAGGCAGGAAACTAGCAGGAAAATCGTTCTTCCGCATCCGCCATCTCTCCAACACTCCAATCGGCGATGTCGCCGTCGACATAGAGTCGAGAGAGACATATAGTCGGAGGGTGAGAAAGCTGTAGGTATAATGACGTGGCGTGTGTCCTTTGAAACGACTTGCAAACAGTGGCGCAAGCACTCGGAAGGAAAAGGGTGGAAATGGGTGGTTGAATGAGAGGAATCTCTTGGAATTACCGGAGGTCGTAGTTTAATCTTAGCGCCGCCATCAATTCCCGCGGAATTTAATCCTTTGCCACATACCTGTTATTTTCAGTAAGGAACGGGATAGTTTTCTATCGTTTCCGCGACGACGCGCTGCGACCACAAAAATTGAATCCTCGAGACGAATTGCTACAGGACATTTATTTTTACACGTAAATTGCAATAAGACATTTCGCACCGATGTATCATTCAAATTTTGAATATGATTATTCCTTTATATCGAAATACATGTTACTATACTATATTTCGGATATTTTAAAATATAAAAAATTGATGATTTATATTCTAATATTGCATTTTCGAAGTTTTTAAAGAATTGAGACAAATCAAATCTATTAGAAAGATAACATTATTACAAAATAGCAGTCAGATTTAGAAATTATTTCCAAAACAAAATAGAAGTTGCTATCTTTTTTGGGGCAAAAACAACATCCGCCAACAAAAATCAATTGTCTGTAACGTACGCAATTTCATTATCACCTATTGTTCAGTGAGTTCACCAACGAAAGCAAGCAAAAGGGAACCGTCGATTGTGTATTTATATGAGAGAACTCAGTTTCAAAAGCAACGGTTAAACGCAAATTAAAAACTAGCAAGCGCAACAAAAGAATGCGCACAATGAAAACTGTAATGAAAACTACTTTCTGGAGTTGAAAAGTGTCACAAAAGCATTTGAGGAATTAACCGAGTGGCCGGAACAATTCCTCAGGACTCTCTTGCGGCAGCAATTTAATATAAAATAGTTCACACGACAGTTGTGTGTGTTTCGTGCACCATGAAAATAACACAATCTCGCATCCACTGAAAATAACATTCTCGCGTTCTATCAAAGAAAGATCTTCCAAAGATTGTTGTCACATAATGATTTTATAAAATAGTATTTATTTTCTTATATAACGAATTTATTACGTGCTCATAGTTCTCTGACAAACCAAAATTAAAATATTGTAAAAGGAGAATATAATTTACATTTATATGTTCTTAGTTTTTCAATCTTGCTCTCGCAAATGCTACAATGTACGATAAAAATAAATTTTAATCTGCACACAGTTCCAATTTGCAAAGTACGAAGTTCTTATAAAAAGTTCTACTTTAAACAATTTGTTACGATCATTTCGCAAGTGACACCCATCTTTGATGCGAATGGAGTTTTCTAGTTAACATCCCTATCTCCCATGCATTATGCAAGGTGCGCGCGCATACACATTCGTCGTACCGGAAGTGGCGGTAAATCGGATCTGAAACTCCCGATATATCGCGCGAACGATGCGCCCTTCCACCCCTTTACGCGTTTGCATATAAATAATATCGCAAGATGGCGGCGCCGAATCATAAAGTTCCTGCGGAACGTGAAGTTGCGGTTTGACTACCTTGCTTATCTGTCTATATACAATGTTTTCGATCGATCGTCCATACAAGTAAAGAGCGAGAAGCGTCTCGTATCACATATATTTTTCAGATCCCAAATTTATGTATGATCTTCTATCGTGAGATCCTAAGATAGAATCCTTCCTCATCATCGAGCGATGTATATTATCGATTTAAAGCGCAAACTTGACTTAGGCATCAAATCGCTTCCAGATTCAATAAACCACTGAATAGGTGAATAATATCCTACATCGAAAAAATCAATTCGTCGATCAATTTGCTAAGGAAATATTCATAAAAAATTCTTAGATAAATCTTCTATTTTGATATTCAATCCTGCTACGTATCTTGTTAAAAAGTATCATGAATTAGCATTATAAAGATATTACTATCAGTTAAAAAAAAAAATTTTATTGTATATGTGAGATTATTCCTTGTACAAAATAAAATATTAAATTGTCTCATAAAATGATACATAACAATAAAAAAAAAAACTTTTTTATATTAATACAAATTTCTCAAGGAAAAGTGACTGCACACAACTACTTTGCTCGATCATCTCGAAACAGAAATAAACTCGTGATGATGTGGGGTTTACTAATAGCAACTTGCAACAGCATAACGAAAATATAATGCCATGCAAAGCCGAACGACACTGACCTTAGCAAATCTTTCCTGCGTGTCAAGAATCTCTATGAACAACGACACCTTATCATCCATGATCTTGAAACCGTTCCTCGGCTGCGCCAATAGCTGCTGTATCGCCTGCGACGTAGTGAGCGGCGTCGCCGGACTCGTTGCCGGCGTGGAAGTTCTCGTACCAGTACTTCCACTGCTGGAGTTGCTATTGTGAAGATGAGTGCAGCCGAGGAAGATTGGATTACCATTCGGGGAAACACCGCACGTGAACGGACGGAAGGGAAGTCCGTGAAATGTGGGGCTAGGTCGCGGAGCGGATGTGCGAAGCAATGTTTGAGCAGATGGCAGAGATAATCGTCGCACGGCACTCTGATTTTGTTGTTGTTGTTGTTGTTGTTGCTGCTGTTGTTGCTGTTGGCTCTGTTGTTGAGATTTCGACGGCGATTTAAGTATCTGATAATCGCTAGCGGCTGAAGGTAATGACCGGTATCCAGAATCCGAGGGGGAAGCAGGTGGCATGGGAACTCCTTGTGGCGTCGTAGCGATACTATGAGGTCTGGGAGGTCGAAGGGCGGCGCCTAAAGTCCAGGTGTTGGAATTTCCAGGGTTAGTCAGTATACTCAGACAGGGCCCTTGTGACGTGGGCGTGGGTGGTTGAGGATGTGGCATGGTCGAGGCGTACGCTCTACGAGGTATGGGTTGATGTAGAACCATCCCGGAGGCACCCCATTGTATAGGCTCCCCTGGTGTGCGAGCGGACGCGGATACGCTTGTTGGTGTTGTTGTTGTAGCTGGAGGCAAGCCTGTTGCAGCTGTAACGGGTGTCGAGGCGATGCTGTGAGGCCGCCTAGGTAAGGGTTGTTGGCCGTTCCATAAAGATTGGGGTGGTACAGCGCTGCGAGTTGCGGATACCACGACGACGCCGCCGCCGCCGCCGCCGCCACTGACGCTGCCGGCTGATGTACCGTTACTCCTTGGTTCCTGTTGACCGTTGATGCCGCCATTGATGCCATTGTTGTTGCTGGTGGGTAGAGATACTGGAGTACCGGCGACCGAATGGGCACGCCGTTGTACCACTCCTGGTACACCGCATGCGGTTGCATTTGGTGTAACACCTGAGCCCCACGCTGCCGGTGCTGTTGCTCCTGGTGCTGGTGCTGCTGATGATAATGGTGTCGCTGCGGCTGCTCTACCACCGAGCTGACCAAGGGGATGTTGGACACCGTGGAATGGTGGAGCGGCAATACTATGAGGACGCCTCGGTGCTGTTGGGTGTGATAACCCGTTGGGTGTAGAGCGAATTTTATTTGCGCCGGATGCTGGTATCGGGGCAGGTGGTGTGTAGAGGGGGAATCCGTGACCATTGTGACTCGGGCTACGGGTGGGCAGCTGATTGATCGGGGACGATCGCAGATTGTTATGCTGCTGTTCGTTCTGGTGTTGCTGATGTTCGTTGACAGAGCTTGCTCGATTTGAGGGGGAGGGGTGTGTTGGGGCCGGTGGGGGCGGGGGTTCCAACAGATTTTCAAGTTCTGCAGACAACGACCACGCTGAGGGTATTGCTGATAATGATGGTACTGTTGGTAACGCTGGTAGTTGGACGGTAGTTGTTGAACCGCCGCCGCCACCGGGCTCGGAGTTGTTGATTGCGACGGCAGGATTTGGCGAGGCGGATTTGTTGACGTGTGCGGTGCGTCCACCGCCGATGAGAGCGGTGACGTGCTGTAGATGACGATCATTCAGACTCGCGCGTCCGTTCACATTGCGATAGAAGCCGGGACCCGGCGCGAGATTTAGACTCGTCGGTTTTTGCTTCACTCCGCCGTTAGGCTGCGGAGAGACGGCGGGTTTCGGCTCGCCCATTTGGTTTTATCGGCGCGAGGACACAGCCGATCAGGTGTCCAAACTTGAGAGCATCGCCTTGGTTGATTGCAACTCCGCGAATACTTTCAATGTATTGTGAGTCTATTGATCTCTGTTTAAGCGCAAAATTCCCATGTCAAAAGTATCTAACTTGCAATATTTCAATGTCAAAGGTATTTTCAGATGAAAATAAGTCTTCCTCAATAATATTCTTAAACTATTCTTTAAATATTAATACAATCATGGGCGCAAAACTACTCGAGAGTTTAGTGACATCTGCTTCGTGTAAGAAAATCGATAAATTCCATCCTTCTGATAAATTCAAGATTACAGTTTATCTGCACAGAGAGTATTATACCAGATTTCACAAAGTCTATTTATATTTCCATTGCGTCTGTATTAACGATTTTATAGGTCGCTGGTAATTCGATGCAAAGTTCGATATTTTGCGAATCAATGGCACGGATTTGTTCATTTGCCACGTCGTTCTAGGCCGTTTAAATTTCAGTCACTGGTGTTTCAACAATTCAAGTAATATTTCGAAATTACAAACAATCAATTTTATGTCTCTCTACGTTAATCTGAATGAGCATGCATTAATGCATGTAAATCACATGCGTTGTTATTAATAATATTTGTTGGGTATCATCGATTAAAATAAAAATCCGTTGTCGCTTTTATATTGATTCTAGATATCAGTATCCAAATATTTCTATTTTTGAACAAATTCACCGTTTTCATAATAATGTTTCAGCCAACTCTTTGAGCTGTTGTCTCATTGATCATTATAGCGTCATAATATTCTCACTAAAGTTATCGATAATTTTCGACTAATTATTATCGATAATATTCACTAGAAATGACGATATTCATTAAATTTTCTAAATATATTTCAAATCAACTACGGACGCTATAATTTTTGTTGATGATTATATAGTTATTGTTCTTCATTAAGACGCTACTCAATAAAATTCTTCTATCCAGTAGACTAGTAATGTTAATCATTATTTCGGTTCTGAATCTTCAATGATTGATGAACAATAATGAAAGATGAAAACATATTTAGGCACGTGGCCGGTTGTTTAAACTGCATCAAATTTTAATTAGACGTCGGCTTTAATCTACTTACTAAAAAAACACTACAAGCTTTCCATCAACGGCTGATTTTCACTAAATTATCGCAAAATTTCATCGATACATGTATTCTTCCATCAGTTTATATCACGAGGAATGATCTTTATTACGTGTACACTAAACACTATCCACCACTCAAATTTTGAGATATTTAAATATATTAAAGAGAGATCAATATGACGATTTGTATTTTAAATTTTGAATAATTTTGAGACATTTCTTTAATCGTAACGATAAGCCGGTCATTTTCCTTCTCCGACAGATATTTCAACTTCCACCTATTTTCGAACTATTTTTCCAACTATTATACTCCTCGAATCGCGATCAAACAAGTATCGTTCACTTTCCTCGATCTCTTCCAATTCTTAAGCGTTCTTCTCACTGTCATTCTTGCAGTTATTTTTCCGGTTCACCGCACAATTTCTTTCACTTCTATTCATTCATCCTTCGCGCGGATCTTCTCAGACAGTTTCCTCAGATTCCGGTACTCTTACTCGTCCAGGCGACGACAGGGTTACAGTGACGTTTCGTCGTTCTCAAATTTGTCCGATCGACAACGTCTATCGTTCGCGAATTAGTGACTGGTACCATACTCTAGCCGAAGGGCACTTGCCGAGCTTGCCGAGCTTGCCGAGCTTCTTGCGAGCGAGCAAAACGTACGCGTGGTACTTCCTACCGGCAAACGGCGAACGCGTGAGTTCAATGTGCGCGGGTCAGGAATTGCAGAGGGAAGTTAGGGACAGGAGGTCAGTCGGTTGAGACTGACGCGTGGCTGCCGTGCCGGGGGCGGAGTGGCGTGCTCCTCTTTGGAATACGGCGGGATTCGAGCCGCGACGAGGCGCACGCCTGCGCCGCACGACCGATTACTACTCCCGACGTCGCTTCCTCCGCCGATCTCATCCTCCCCGTCTATCTCCGTTCCACCTCCGGTGGAAGACCTCTCTCGCTCTCATCTCCCGCTATATTCTCCCCCAGGAACATCGGCGCGGTCCTGCTGCTCCCTCCTGCTGCCGCTTTTCTCGTATCCTCCACCGACTCCGCACCGACAACAGCGACGACGACGACGACGACGATGTTCCCATTTCTCTCCAAAGGATACTGCCAGCTTGCTGTGCATCTAGCAATGCGGCAGAGAAGACGGACAGAAGAAAAGAGGCAAGAATAGAAAATAGAAACGGGAAGGAGAGAAATCGTGTTTACCCGTCCAGGGTAACGTATTGAGGACGTATCTTCTATATATATTACTATGTCCCTTTTGCATTTGTAGTTACATTTACCTGTATATTGATCTGGTTAATTTGTGACTTTGCAAATTCAATCAAATAATATCAAATTAGATATATATTTGACTTTCTCTAATTATAACATAATATAATAAAATGACAGAAAATGCAAAATATTAAATATGACTTTCTCTAGTTATAACATAATATAATAAAGTGACAGAAAATGCAAAATATTCCATCAATTAAACGTGTCGGGAATAACTTTACCACGACAGATATAATTACTGTAAAATATATCGTGCAAATTTCGGATAAAAAATAAAAAATCATTCTTAATCATATATTTCTGTGAGAAACGTAATAGTGTTAAAAAAATGTACAAGTACAAAATGAAAAAGAATGGAAGGAGCAAAATGGGATCTTTATCTCTGTAAGGACGATGCTCACTGATATTCACAAGATATAGTTTCTCGGCATCGTTTCCATTCCTCCCGATATACCCGACATACCCGACTGGTTTTCTTATGGTCATCTCCGTTTATTCTTCGCCTCACTTTTACTGTTTCCGTAATATGTACAGCATACGTCGACCATTAGAATCCTCCTTTATCGGACAGGACGAAGTGTTGACTACGAAAACGCGTAGAATAATGACAATATTCGTAGGGAGAAGACAATTTCTGCACGGTAAAAATTTCAAGCGCCGCTGAGTCATGAAAGCGATCGGTATGATCAATTTAAAAGTCGTTTTCAATAGATAGACGCGCGAATAAAATTAAAAGGAAATACGACTGAAAAAATTAAAAGAAAATACGACTAAAAGAGACGCTTATTGATATTTCTGCTGCTTTGTCGATGTAATAAGATAAAAATGTGAAGAAAGAATCGATCAAGAAGATGATGAAACGAGACTGTCGCTAACTATCTCTCCGAAAATACTACGAAGCGTCATACGCATTCATCGTCTGTCTCGCAGCCTCTCTATCTTACGCAAGTTATCTATATGGAACTGTGTAATGTAAACGGCGTGTGTCGACTGAGTCTCCTTTTCACAATCTGGCTGCAGAGACCTAACAGATGCGACCGGAGCGCATGCAAGTCGATCATGATAATGGTAATGATTTTCGCTCGTATTTTTCCCAAAAATTCTCTGAAAAAGTATAAGTAGAATAAAAGCAAATAAATAAGAAACCAAATTTAAAATACATTAAATTTCTACTATTATCTTTAAAGTCTCCTAAATTTCATAAATTTCTACTGTTATCCATACCTTATTATTATCCAATATTACTTACTATGTCAATTTTTTTATTCTGATTTCTCTCTCTCTCTCTCTCTCTCATTTTTAGTTTTTCCAAATTTAAAAATTGTTTCATATTTCCAAATCATCTCACGTAAAATATGTGTATATCGGAAACAACATACATTTTTCCCTTTTAAGTACTTTCTTTCTGTTTTAATATTTAAAATTTTTCAGTAGGCGATAATGTAAAAAAAACTGCGACAGTGATATGTGCATGATCTATCTTTTCATATATATATCATGCATGTTATTACTTGCTTATCAATATTTGATCGAATTCTATTAGTAACAATTTAAATACGTGAGATTTCACAAGAAAAATATACAGAAATAGATGTAGGTTTCAACGACACGTAATTACTTTACCGCGACGCCAAACTAGACAAGCACAGAGATATTGAAGATATTAAAGACGGAAAATGAAATCGAAATTGCGTTACGCGCAAGCCTGCGATTAAAAGGTAAAGATTAAAGACGCGCGTTTCTTTTATAGCTCTATAAAAATGATGAAATGAACGATTTTATGTGAAGATAATTAAAAATTGATTGATTTTAAGCGTTATTTTCTTTTTGTGTAGAAATAAATAAGGATAATCTATTTTACATTGCATATAACAGCAAAAGTGTCAATCGTCGTTTTGATTAAAAATTTAGAAACTTAAATAAGATTTACTGTCACACGCAAAATAATTTTTATATATTAATGCTACGATAGTTGCTAACGCGCATAATACAAAAAAATTATCGACATTCAGCTAATAAATAACAATAAATGCTGTCGAATTTCCTGAGTTATATGGTCAAACAGATTTCTCTGTTTAGTCATACAACTCAGGAAATTTGACAGCATTTATTATTATATTAGGTGTTGGAATTAATTCGTAGCGTTTTTTAATGAAAGAATGTTATTTATTTCACATGAGCATTAAAAAATACATTAATGAAAGTACTTCCCATCACTTGTAAAACGCTACGAATTAATTCCAACACCTAATAATATTTATTAGCTGAATGTGATAATATTGTATTACGCGCATTAACAGCTCTCCTAACATTATCTCGTTTGTACTACTGAATAATAATAATAATAAATGTCATATGTCTACTGTTATCTATTTCTAAAAGTTGATGACAATTCAACAATTAAAAAAATTAAACAAAGTTGTATAAAGTCTGCTTTCTATTCTTTGTTGGTCTAAGTACATAAAAAAGAGAGAATTCTTTTATATAAGAATTACAAACATAGTAAAATAAAAATTTTCTTATTATAATTATATTCTATCTGTGTTGATTGACTAAGAATAATTAAATCGATCAAAGAATTTAAGTCAAATTACGTAACAAAAAATTTTTAATGTACAATACAATAAAGTGTAATAACTAAGTATTATATTAAATAACGATCTCTTTATAACTCTAGAATGGTTGGCTATAAAAAATAAATGGATAAAGATAATTTTGTATACTTTTATATTGTTTCCTAATGCTAAATATATTAAATTTAACTTCAAGAGTTCTATCCATAATAAATTCCCATTATGTAAATTTTT